GCCTCGCCACGCTCAGGCCAAGGCCAAGGCCATCCTCAAACCCACAGTCTCCCTGACTCCTCACGTCAGCCCCGAGTCACACATGGCTCAGAAATTAACTTAATCCAGCTTGTATCATTATCTGTCTCTTCACTCTGTGCCTAAAGACGACGCCTAACCAACAGGCCAGAACGCACATGACCAAAGGTGTGTAGTCCCCTCCCAGTGCCCTTGGGAGGCTCTGCTCTCATTCCAACAATCCCATCCCAGGGAACACATCTGCAAATCCCTCTCTGGGAACAAATCTTCCTCATTTAAGGATGGCTCTGCTTCGGTCAAAGAGCCACCAGTCTTTGGGCACTGCTCATAAACCAAGCACTGGGCTTCAGCACGCTCCCTGTATTCTGTCCATTTACTCCTTGCCATCGACGGATGAGGCTGGTCCAATTATCATCCCCATTTTTCAGGAGAGGAACAGTCACTTGCCCAAAGGTAAACACTGGTGGCAGAGCCAAGGCTGGGCCCGGGGTGGGCTGACTTGGTCCGTGGGCATCCTCCTCTCTGTTCTTGGCCACCTCCAGAGCATTCCTCCTCTAGCTTCCTTCGAAAAGGGCAGCAAAGCTAAAGGACGTGGCCCAGGCAACCCCTCCCGCCAGCCCTCCCAGTGGCATCATCTGTAGACACCGCATACTAAAGAGTTCAGCCCTCGGCTCATGGTCCTTCCCTCCATCACTCTGTCTTCAGTTCCAGCAACATGAACAGCTCTCGTGACTCTGGCCAATCAGGTCTTTAACCCCCTTTCTTCCAGTGGCCTCCTCTCGCTGCCCCGCCACCAGCTCAACCACCTGCTCCCACATGCTCACCTAGACCCTGTCCTCACCAATGACACCAGCACACCAACCATCTCCATCGCGAGCATCCCGTCCCCAGACTCCCAGACCCTCCCACCAGTCCTCACCCCAACGGGACCTCCAATCGCCGCCTTATCTCCCCTTCCCCTCCCACCTCCCCCACCATCCTTCCCCAGCTAAGACCAGCCCTGTCGTGATAATGCCCCCTCGGCAAAATCTTTCACCTCTCCAGCTCTCTCCATCCTTTCGCTCCCTGGCAAAACCTAAGTCAACTCCTTGCCTATCCCGTGCTGGAGGAACACACACAACCACACAGATTGTCTCACTTTAAATTTACGACCACAAACTTCAAGCGGGCCCTTAGCACAGCCCAACCATTTCCCTCCTCAATTCGCTCTCCTAGAGGAGTATTTGAGACTTGCCCCGTTTTCTCCAAACCTCAAACAACCTGTTCTCCGCTGACCGCTACTCTCCCTGAGAAAATAAAAGCAATTAAAAGAAAAGTCCTCATCTTTCCACCACTGAATCTAACAGGTTCCTCCATCGGTACTGAAGAGTCCCTCTTCCTGCCTGTGACACTGGCCCAAATGTACCCCTGCCATCCAAGCCCACCCTTCACTCCGGCACTGGGTTCTGTCCCCTCTTCCCAACCCAACGTCACCGCTCTGGCAATCTCCCCTCCTCTCTCCTGCAACGGTCTTCCCTTCTTGACCAGACCCTTCCCACAGCATAGAACAGGCTGTAGTATCAGCACCAGGGCCCAGGCCTCCTCCACCTAACTCTGTCCCCTTTAGAGGAAGACTCCTCGACACCTGTCTCTGCTCACTGTCTCCACCTCCCCACTCCCACTCCTTTGATTCCACTGCACCGTAATTAGCCAACCCTGCCCCCAGCACGCCATCGAAATCGCTCTCCCCAAGGTCACCAGTGACTGACCCTCTTGTTGCCAAACCCAGTGGACATTCCTCAGCCCTCACCTTGGCTAACACGGTTGATCTCTCCTTCCTTCCTGCAGCTCTTTTCTCGGCTTTGAGGATCCCTCGCCTCCTGGCTTGCCTCCCACCTCATCAGCTGTCCTCTTGGCTGGCTCCCCCACCTCTCCCCGAGTCAGAGGCTCAGCTCTGGGACTCCTCTCTACCTACACTCAGTTCGTAGGCGACCTTAGCAAGTCCCACAGAGTTAAACGCCATCCTTGCTCAGGATTCACCCGTTTAATACTCAGTCCTGACCACTGCTCGCCTGAGCTCCGGACTCTATATCCCACTGCTTACTTACCTCAGAGGCATCTTAAACTTCGCGTGTCTAAGGGTTCCCATTTCCCACCCCACCAGTACCTGTTCCTCCCCAGGTCTCACCCCGTCTGGCAATGGCGGGACTGATCACCCAGTGCTCCGGCCAACATCTAGGCTGGAGTCAGCCTTGATTCATTCCACTTGCCCTCATACTCCACATCCAACCCAGCAGGAAGTCCCGTTGGCTCTGACATCGAGATTCATCCCACACCAGACCCTCCTCACCATCTCTCCACAGCCCTCTCCTCCCAACCAGCATCACCTCTCACCCGGGCTGCCTCTAGGTTTCCCAATCAGTCTTCTCTCTTCCCAATCAGTCTTCCATTCTTCTCTCTCAGAGCAGCCAGAAGGATCCTTGCAAAATGTAAATCAGATCCTGTCAACACCCCTGTTCAAAACCTTATAAAATCCTCCACCCCCTTCGGGGTGGCCTGCAGGATCCGGTGGCCCCTGCCTATCGGATAGCTGCCTCATCTCACTTTGCCCCTCACTTCCTCCATCCAGCCACAATGGCCTTTTACTGTTCCTCCCATACATCAAGTTCATTCCTACCACAGGGCCTTTGCATTCACTGTTCCCTCCACCTAGAATGCTTTTCCCCATCAATCACAAAGTTTGTTTCCTCATTTCATTCAAGACTCTGTTTATCACTGGCCTTTCCTGATTCCCAATCTCAAACAGCCCTCCGCCTCATTCCCTGTATACTGCCACCATATTCCAACTGTGGTTCATTTATCTTCATACCACTTAATGTTATCTTACTTAGTTGTTCAGTCTCTGTAAGGGCAGGAGCCCTGTCTTAATCGCTGCTGTATTCCCAATGCCCATGACAGTCCCTGGACCTTAGAAGGTGATCTATAAATATGTGCTGAATAAATAAATTCACAAATCAATGAATCAATCACTACCCTACACAGCCTCCCATCGGCCCAGAGAGAACAGCATTGTCCAGCAAAATATGACATGACTCTCATATGTGATTTTAAATCCTCTAGCACCACATTTTTAAAAGAAACAGCAAAGTTAATTTTAGTAATATACTTTTTATTTAACCCAACATATCCAAAATGTCATTTCAACATGATATCAATATTGAAAGATTTATGAATAAGATATTTTGCTCTCTTTTATACTAAGTCTTTGAAACCAGGTGTGTATTTTACACTCACGTGTCTCAATCTGGACTAGCCATGTTTCAAGGGCTCAACAACCACAGGTGGCGAGTGGCTACTGTACCAGACAACACACATCTAAAACACGAACCTGATCAGGTCACTCATGAACCCAAACCCCTTCCCCCTGACACCTCACCGCTCTGAGGATTAAGTCCCAACTCCTCTGCTAGGCACGAAAGGTGTCTTACGACTAACCCTCTGGGCTCTGAACACTCCCCTGCACCAACCACACCTTCAGATCTTCGAATGTGCCATGTGCTCACTTGCCTCCAAGCCTTAGCACATGCTGTCTCTTCTGCCTCGAAGGCTGCTTTCCTATTCATCTGAAACCTCCTACTCAATCTTCAACACCCCTTCACCCAGGAAGTCTTCATGGACACCCTAAGCTTGGGGGAGATACTCCTCTTCCGTGCTTCCAAACTGCCCATCTCCTGGACTTGTGTGTGCTCCCCAAAGGTAGGCAGGATCTTGCTCATCTGGGGCTAAGCACACAGCAGCTGCTCTGTGATTACTGGCTGAATTAATGACTGACTGGGGCTCCCCTCCCAATCAGGGCATAACCCATCCCACTTCTGCTCACTCCATCTCTCAGTGTCCCCCAGCCCTTACCACATAAAAACGGAGCCACAGTTGTGCTCCCAACTCCACAACCTTCCCTATTCCTTCTCAATCCAATCATTTTCCTTGAATTTTATCCTAAGAAAGCAAAATTCCATATTTCCTCCAAGATTCTGATTTGGGGGGAATGATGAATACGCATTTTAACGTAAAATATGTGCACCTGCTTATCTGGCCTTTGCTTCCCTTCCTTACCCCACACAAGGCTAAAACTCAGGCAGGAAAAATAATGTTATGTGAAAACTTGTCCTTTCGGGTCATCCCCACTCCTCAGCCCAGGAAAGAGGCAGTTTAACACCAACACCAGAGGCACCAGCAGTCACCACTGTTGCCCACAGGGACACCACCACTGTTACAAGAGAAAGAAGAGGGATCTGAGCCAGGAAGCCAAGGAATCAGAGCCTTCTTTGCTTCTGGGCATTTTCTTGTCAAGCTTTGATTTGCAGAAATGTAGGCATGTTACTGCACTCACTAATTCACTCAACAAACATTAATGAGCACTTCCTCTTTGCAGGGACCAGGCCAGGGGCTGGGTTACAGGATGGAAATTACACCTCTGAGTTTGTTTTCCTCAAATGGCAATCTTTTTTTTTCTCCATTCAAGGACAAACCTGCTTCTTTTGAACAGCTTTAAAAAAAAACTGGAGACCCCTACATCTATGAAGTTCACCATCATGAGGCTTAGTGCATGCCCAAAATTTTAAAAGGAATTCACAAGTAGTAGAACTGGGATAATGATTTAAACCAACTGTAGTTTTAAATGTATAAACATTTTTACGAGCAAACAGAACACGTGCAACACTTTTCCTGCACCCAAATGACTTAAGTGACATCATATCTAAGAAAACGAATAAAAGTGAACCCCAACATATATTTCAGTTTCCCCCCAAATTTGGGCTTCAGAACCTACAGAGAACATATAACACAGGGTCTCCTCTGCAAACAAGGATGAATGAATGAAGGCCACTGGTTTATCACACCCTAAGAACACCCTACTCCTCTCATAACGCATGGAAGCCCTGTAAGCCAGGCCTGCTATCAGAGGAAATGCTTTTAAAAAAATACAGTCATCAAGGGAAGAAAAGTCCAAGGTAAACACGCTCTGAGTTACTGGTTGTTCACTAGCCGTCACGTGACTGCTGCTCCCACTGCTCCTATTAGGAAGCCATTTCATTATTTAACAGCAACAACAAAGACAAAGCTGGCATCTGGAAACACTTCCATAAAACACGCACGCATTACAAACCATTCCCTCATCTCTGGTGAGGCATCAACCAAGGGTCGTGCTGTTCTCGCGAGAGCACAGAGTGCCAGAAGGCCTCCACCTCCTCCCCACTGTACAGCTGGAAAAACTGAGGCCAAAGAGCATAGCCTGGACCTGAACACAGGACTCCCAACCCAGCTTGGTTCACCCATCGTTTGTTCCACAAATGACAGGCAGGAGTACTAACCAAACTACGGACTGTGATCTGTCAGGCCAGGCAGGGCCAAGATGCAAGGGAGACAGCAGCAGGCACGATTACACGCCCAGGTCCTGGCTGCGTCCCCGTCTCCCGGCAAATCTAAGGGCACCAAGCCCTCCAGCACAATCATGAAATAGGAGAGCATCAAAACCCACTAAGTGTGGACTTTCCGTTTCAGCTCCCACATGAAAAGATCCTGGAAGTCATCACTCTCATCCTCACAACAAGAAAAAAGCTAAACAAACTGAAAAGCAACAACTGTTCTTTGACCAGAGAATTGAGGTCACAGAGCAATCTATCACCCCAGAAATTGGAGAGAGAGGCAAATACAGAGAAATACAGCTTACTGGGTACTAGAGCAGAAGCTGCAGCTAGTAACTGGTAGGAACACTTAAACTGTAATGGCCTAACTTCCAGAAGCTGAGTGTGGACTAGCTTGAGAGTTAAACACTCCTGGGGAGCCAGTCTTAGAGGAACCACCATACTTTGCAGGAACCTCAACAGGTTCATGATTCAGTGTGGGGGGCTAGTGAGGGTGAGGAAAAAGTAACCATTTTGAAATAGCACAGAGTTCTGTTCTCCACAACAAAGGCTTGTCCTCAAGGGAAAATGCTTGATCATAGACTTATCTGACCTGCAGGGAGGGCAAGTGGACCACGCTGGCCCCTCAAGCCTTCCTGTCTCACTTAAGGGAGAAAAAGAAAAGGCTCAGAAATGCTTCTAGAGGTCACACCCCAGGGACTCAGCCCCACTACAAAAGCCTGAGATCTGATCGTAAGAATATAAGACCACTTCCTCTCCCTAATATCTTATCACCACATCAAAAAGACTACACTATAACAACAGTGGATTACAACTGAGAGCTGCAAGACAGATTCTTTTTAAGAAGGAGTTCTTAGGGAAGCCCCAAGACAACAGGAAAGAGGGGGAAAAACAAAACAAGGAGGAAACTGAAGCCTCTGACACCTGCAGCTACAGCAAACATTAAACACAGTCCAGTAACATAACACAGCCACAGAAACATACAGCTTCACGCTACAACACTCACGACCTCAGTTCCTACTACTAAATATACCATGTCTTTCCACAAAAAATTACAAGGCACGCTAAAAGGCAGGATTAAAAAAAAAAAAAAGTCTGGAGAGACAAAGCAAGCATCAGAACCGGACTCGGATATCACACAGATTTTGGAACACAATTTAAAGTAACTATGATTAATATGTTAAGGGCTCTAATAGAAAATGAGAAAAAAAGCAAAAACAGATGGGTAATTTAAGCAGAGAGATGAAAACTCTAAGAAAAAGAAAACAAAAGGAAATGCTGGAAATCAAACACAGCAACAGAAATGAAGACTGCCTTTGGTGGGCTCCTCAGCAGACTGGACACAGCTGAAAAAAGAATCGCTGAGTTGGAAGGTAGGTCAACAGAAATCACCTGAACTGAAATACAAGCAGATAAAAAGAATGACACAATATGAACTTCTAGTTTCCACTCCAACAAGTAAAGGGCTTGGAAGTCATCACTCCCTTTCCCCAAGAAAAAAGTTGAACAAACCAAAAATCAACAACTTGTCTTACGTCCATCAGAGAATGGAAGTCACAGGGCAAATCACTCCCCCAAAAACCGGAGGGACAGACAAATAAAGAGAATCACAGCTTACTATGAGCTGAAGCTATCCCTGGAGCCAAGAACTGGTAGGAACACTTGTGGTCATTGCTGGAGACTGAGCGTGGACTAGCTTTGGAGAGAAAAACTCCTGGGGGGCCCAAACCTTTCCTGAGTTTTACCTCCAGGAGCCTCACCAGGTTCTCAGGGCTCTGGCTGGGGGCAGGGTAAGGTAACAATTTTGAAATACACCCAGAACATCTGTTCTTAACAGAATAGAATATGCCTACCCCGAAGAGAAACTATTTACCAGAGTCCAGCCAGAGTGAGTTTTCCCAGGGCCTAACTGACATGGGGGAAGGGAAATACCCATATCCAGTTCCCACTGGTCTTTCTATCTCACCTAAGAGGGAAAAGAAAAATCTGGGAAACACTTATTAAGGTCACAGCCCACAGGCACAGGCCCACTAAAAATCTGAGAAGTAATCATAAGACTCTAAAATGCTTCTCCTCCCCACACCTTACTCCCACATCGGCAGGACTCCTGAATAATAACAGAGGATTATAGCCAAAAGACCTGCAAGCCTCAGACTCTTGGGGGTCTTTTAAGGAGTCTTGAGGGAAACTCCAAGACAATAGGGAAGATAAAAACAAGGACACCAGAGCCAGCCATGATGGCCTAAAGGTTAAAGTTCAGTGCTCACTGCTTCAGCAGCCCGGGTTTACTTCCCAGTTGTGGAACCACAACACCCGTCTGTCAGCTGCCCAGCTGTGGCAACTCAGATAGAAGAACTAGAAGGACCTACAACTAGGACATACAACCATGTACTGGGGATTTGGGGAGGAAAAAAGAAAATTTGCTTAGGAAAAAACAAGGACATCCAGGAAATTTTAGCCTCTAACACCTACAGCTACAGCAAACCATTAACACAGCCTAACTCCTAGCCAGATAGACATAAAACCTCAAACTAAAATGCTGATTACCTCGGTTCCCATTACTAGATATTTCATGTTTGTCTTTCAACAAAATATTACAAGGCATGCTGAAAGACAAAACACACTGTCTAAAGAGCCACACAAGGCATCACAGCCAGATTCAGATATGACACAGATTTTGGAATTATCAAGCCAGGAATTTAAAATAACTATGATTAATATGCTAAGGGCTCTAATGGAAAAGGCAGACAACCTCTAAGAACAGATGGTAATGTAAGCAGAGAGATGGAATCTCTAACAAAGAATCAAAAGGAAATGCTAGAAACTTCCCCAACTAACAAAGCAAAGAGAAAAAAGAATGTAAAAACAGAACCCAACATCCAAGCACTGCAGGACAATTACAAAAGGTGCAACATATATGTAATGAGAATACCGAAAGGAGAAGAAAGAGAAGAGGAACAGAAAAAACATTTGAAGTAATAATGGCGGAGAATTTTCCAAAATTAATGACAGCCACCAAACCACAGATTCAGGAAGCTCAGAGAGTTGCAAGCTCTGAATAAATAAAATAACAAAAAAGCCACACCTAGGCATATCATATTCAAACTGTAGAAAGTCAAAGACAGAGGAAATCTTGAAAGAAGCCAAAGGAGAAAAAAACAAACAAAAAAAAAAACCAGTTTACCTACAGAGGAAGAAGAATAAGAATTACATCAGATTTCTCTCCAAAAACCATGCAAGAAAGAAGGTATTGGAGGGAAATGTTTAAAGCATTGGGGGAAAAAACTACCAACATAGAAATCTGTATCCAGTCAAATTATCCTTTGAAAGTGAGGAGCAATAAAGACAAAATTTGACAAAATTTGTCACCAGCAGACCTGCCCTGCAGGTTTAAAGTTCTCCAGGGAGAAGGAAAATAACATAGGTCAGAAACTCAACATACATAAGGAAAGGAATAGCGTTTGAAAAGGAATAAATGAAAGTAAAATAAAATCTTTTATTTTTCTTATTCTTAGTTCACCCAATAGATAACAGTTTGTTCAAATAATAGTAGCAACAATATACTGGATGATTATAGTTTAGGAATAAGTGAAATGACACCAACATTATGAACAGCAAGGAGCAATTGGAAATACTCTGTTGTAAGGTACCTACACTACCTGTGAAGTGGCATAGTGTAATCTGAGAATGGACTTAGATTCATTGTAAATGCATATTGCAAAGTCTAGGGCAATCACTAAAAAAAAAAAAAATTTAAAGAATTGAGATGCTATGAGAGGGGAGAAAATGGAATTATATGAAGTGCTCAATTAAAACCAGAGAAAGCAGAAAAGAAGTGGAAGACAAAAAAGAGAAAGAAAGAACAAGGACAATGAATCTAAAAGTTTCAAATTTGGTAGATGTTAACACAACTATATCAATATCACTTTAAACGTGAATGGTCTAAGTACACCAATTAAAAGACAGAGACAGAGTGGATTAAAAAAAATGAGTTTCAACTATATACTGTGTACAAAAAACCCATTTTAAATATAAAGACACATATATCTGGATTAAAAGTAAACATAAGGAGAAAGATAAATCATGCTAATACTAATTAAAAGAAATTTAGAGTAGCTATATTAATTTCAGACAAAGCAGAAATCAGAGCAAGAAAAACTGTCAAGGATAAAGAGGGGCATTACATAATGACAAAGGAGTCAATTCTCCAAGAAGATACAATAATCTTTAACATGTATGCACCTAACAACACAGCATCAAAATATATGAGGCAGAAACTGACAGAAGTACAAGGAAAAATAGACAAATGCACCATCAATATCCTCCATCAATAATTGACAGATCCAGCAAGCAGAAAATCAGTGAGGATATAGTTAAACTGAACAGCGCCATCAAACAAGGGGATCTAACTGACATGTACAGAGTACTTCATCCAACAACAGCAGCACACACATTCTTCTCAAGCTCACATGGAACATTCACCAAGATAGATCACATTCTAAACCATAAAACACACCTTAACAAGCTTAAAAAAACAGAAATCATACAAAATATGCTCTCAGACCACAATGGATTTAACTAGAAATAAATAACAGAAAATTGTGGTTAAATTTCAAAATATTTGCTGGAAATATGCTGGAAAACTCCAAAATATTTGGAGATTAAACAACACACTTCTAAATAACACATGAGTCAAAGCCGAAGTCTCATGAGAAACTAAAAATATTTTGAACTAAATGAAAATGGAAATACAACTATCAAAATTTGTGGGAAGCAGTGAATACAGTGCTTAGAGGGAATTTTGTTGCACTGATTACATACATCAGGAAAAAAGAAAGATCTAAAATCAATAATCTATGCATCCACATTAGAAAACTACAGAAAGAAGAGCAATATAAACTTAAAGCAATCAGAAGAAAAGAAATAACAAAAGTTAGAGCAGAAATCAATGAAATTGCAAACTGGAAATCAGTAGAGAAAACTAATGAAACCAAAGACTGGTTGTTTGAAAAGATTAATAAAATTGATAAATAAAATTGATAAAACTCTAGCCAAGCTAACCAGGACAAAAAGACAGAACACACAAATTACTAATATCAGAAGTGGAAAAGAGGTCATTACTACTGATCCCAGGGACATTAAAATGATGATAAAGGAATATTATGAACTCTTTGCCAACAAATTTAACTTAGATGAAATGGACCAACTCCTTGAAAGATGCAATCTATCAAAACTCACACAAGGAGAAAGAGATAATCTAAATATGCCTATGTTTATAAAGAAACAATCAATAATTAACAACCTTCCAAAATAGAAAGCACCAGGCCCAGATGGTTTTGGTGGTAAATTCTAACAAATGCTTAAAGATGAAATGATACCAATTCTCTACAATCTCTTTCAGGAAACAGAGCAGAGGAAGCTCTTCCTAACTTGTTATAAAAAGCCATCATTACTCTAATACCAAACCCAGATAAAGACATTACAAGACAGGAAAACCACAAACCAATATCTCTCCTGAACACTGAGGCATAAAACATCAACAAAGTACTAGCAAATTGAATCCAACACTGTATAAAAAGAAGTATACAACATGACCAAATGGGATTTACTCCAGGTATGCAAGGCTGGCTCCACATTTGAAAATCAATTCATATAATCCATGACATCAACAGGATAAAGAAGAAAAATCACAATATCATATCAACAGATGTTCATTTGACACAATCCAACACCCATTCATGACAAAAACTCTCAAAAACTAGGAATAGAAGGGAACTTCCTCAACTTGATAAAGAACACGTCCAAAAAAACATAAACTATCATACTTAAGGTGAGACACTGGATGCCCTTCCCCTAAGACTGGGAACAGGCAAGGATGTCCCCTTCTCACCACTCCTACTCAACATCATACTAGAAGTCTTAGCTAATGCAATAAGACAAGACAAGGAAATAAAAGGTATATAGATTGGGAAGGAAGAAATAAAACTGCCTTTATTCACAGATAACATGACTGTCTATGTAGAAAATCCCCAAGAATCGATTTTAAAAAACTAGAACTAATAAGTGATTATAGGAAGGTTGCAGGATACAAGGTTAATATGAAAAAGTCAATTCCTTTCATATATAATAACAATGAATAACTGGAATTTGAAATTAAAAACACAATACCACTTAGCACCAAAAAAAGAGAGAAAGAATTACTTAGGTATAAATCTAACAAAATATGTCCAGGATACATGAAGAAAACTACAAAGCTCTGATGAAAGAAATTAAAGACGACATAAATAAACAGAGAGATATTCGATACTCATGGAAGGAAGACTCAATATCGTTGTCAATTCTTGCCAGTTTGATCTATAGAATCAACACAATCACAATCGAAATCCCAGCAAGTTATTTTGTGGGTATGGATAAACTGATGCTAAAGTATATACGGAAAGACATAAGACCCAGAGTAGCCAGCACAACACTGAAGAAGAACAAAGTCAGAAAACTTACACTACCCGACTTTGAGATTTACCATAAAGCTATGGTAATCAAGACTGTGGTGTTGGCAAAAGAGTAGACAAATAGATCAACAGAACCGAATAGAGAGCTCAGAAAAAGACCCACACAAATACAGTCAACTGATCTTTGAAAAGGGCACTTCAATGGAGAAAGGATAGTCTTTTCAACAAATGGTGCTTGAACAACTGGACATTCACAGGCCAAAAAACCCTCTCAGGCCTGTCCATGTTCCCCAGCATACAGACAGCAGCCACCACCACTTTCTCTGGGCAGTATGTGTCAGCCCTCCTGGCAGCTGCCAAGTTCTCTCCTCTCTGCCCTGTCCAGCCGATTCCACGCCCAACCTCCTGAGTCAGGTCTAAACTCTCCGAGCCCACAGCAACGTTCACTACCCATTTCAGGCCTTTCCTCGGTCCCACTTACACTCCAATTTCTTCCCTTCCTTTTGTCTGCATAAATTGGTTCTCGGAGGAACTGTATCCATTTTTTGGTCTCTGATTTCTCCCTAGCACTGTGCACATAGTAGATGCTCAGTAAACACTTCCTAAGTGAATAAGCTTCCCAGTTACATACAGGCCATATGTCTACTGAGTACGTACATCAAAACACCAATACATCAAATATCAACACGCAGACTGATTATCTCTGAGTGGGAAGGTTATGAGCGATTTTGAGTTTTTATTCCTTTTTGCTCCTCTGGACTTCCTAACTAATAGTGAACATGTATTACCTTGGATAATAAACATAATAATAGAAGCAAAAACAAGGCAAGCAAACACAACACAAGAAAGGCCAGGTTTACACAAAGGAACACGAGGAGTGATGATTCACTTTACAGAAGGCGCTTTTTGCTTTGTCAAAAGCTTTGCCATAAATTTTCTGCAGGGAGGAGGCCAAAAGAGGATCTGAGGTGCAGGAAACTTTTCAGGATGGTGAGAAGTGCAGAAAGTCCTATTTCCCCCGAGGAGAATGCAGAAGCTGTTCCTTCTTCCTTCCTTCCAGCCATGTGCTGTTTCCTTCTCTTCTCCTCCAGGGAGGTCACAGCGTATTTCCAACTGGCGTGTTCTGAGCTCAGTGACTCCCGACCCCCTCAGCGTCCTTCAGATGCGGATGTTCTGTGACTCCGGAAAAACAGGCCAGATTCTCAGCTGCTATGACCAGGAAGGAGCCTTCAACCAAGTGAACGGAGACAGAACATCCTCAGCCTGGCAGGTGAAAGGCCGGAGTAATTCTCTGGATCTCTGGCCTCAGAGCAGAATCCAGGTGCATGACACTGATCTGATTTGGCAGATGAGGAAACAGACCAGAGAGGTGAAGTAACTGACCTACAGTCACCCAGCTATTAAGGGGAAGAAACAGGACTCAGGATTCCAAGCTTGGTCCGACAGATGCTAAAGCTTTGTGATCCATGAAGCTTTCCGTTCAAGTCACTTTTAAAAATGGCAAAGGAACTGAGTGTGCCTAATCTGGGCCAGGTTCTGAGCCAGGACTGCCAACGAGAGAGCCACTGTCCCTGCCCCAGTGGAGTTTGCATGCTGGCAAGGGACACCCATCCCACAACTGACTTCCACCTGTGAAACGGGCCACCCAGGTAGAGCCTGCGTCCTTGGCCAAGTGGCATTCAAACATACGGCTAAGCAAAACTAGCCGTGTGACAACTGTAGAGACCTCCACTGCTAACTCCTATCAATACTACTTCAAACCGTCATTGCTGTGGCTCTTCCTGCGTGCCAGGCGCTTGGCACTTCGTATCCAATATTTCACTTAATCCTCATGACCACCCTATGATGTGAGCTCATTTAGCCCCATTTTACAGGCCAGCAAATTGAGATTCTGAAAATAAGCAAAGAATCAAGATCTACTTCTCTCTTACAGTGCCTTCCTAGAGCACTTTCTCCTAGAACGGCAGACAACTGCCCCAGCATGGGCTACACCCCGGAGGACCCGCCCCCCGCCCCAACACACACACACACACACACACACACACACACACACACACACACACATAATGCTCTACTGCATTAGCATGCCCACTCACTCCTAACATGGGTCTTAACATTCACAGGAGCAGTGAGTGCTTC